GTTAAATTTCCTTCTTTTTTCAGAAGAGAATTAGACGAGGCACATATCAGAAAGCATTTCTGTTTTCTAAGCATCAGTCTGAGATTTACAACCCTGATGATGGTGATAATTATGGTCTTTTTTTTAAAGACACTTAAAATGTGCTAGCCATAATGGTTTTGTATTCTTATGTTGAAGTATATAAGCATAATGTTAACTTGAGGCTTCCCCCTCCCTTGTTCTGTAGGCAATGTCCAGAAGGATATACATGTATAAAGGCTGGTAGAAACCCCAACTATGGCTATACAAGTTTTGATACGTTCAGCTGGGCCTTCTTGTCACTCTTTCGCCTCATGACTCAGGACTACTGGGAAAATCTCTATCAATTGGTGAGAGAGACTCAAAATAAAAAAACATGCTCTATAGAACTATGGAAGAGGCCTAACTTTGTTCATATAAGGACAGAAAATGCATCTCCATGCCTGTATATAGATGCCTTAGTGATAAAAGTAAATCTGTTCACAATATTTGACATTTTTTGGGTGAAGATTTGTTGGAATTCAGTTTTTTTTTTCAAAACCCTAGGAAAATGTGTTGTTGTTGTTGTTACAGCCCCAGAGCCCACCAAGAGTAATTAGTTGCTGTTACAGAATTTTCAAGAATTCAGGCATTCCCATTTTTCCGAAGTAGTTAAAATTGCTAATTTCAGGTACTTTTTAACCTTCATCCCCCAGGATCATAAGAATCAAACAAACAAACAAAACACCCTTGTGTTGAATGAGTTGTGGGCTATTTTTGGATCCAATGAAAATTTTAATGTATTGAAAGTTAACAGTAAGGTTAGAATTCCAGTCAGAACTATTGTTAGGATTTAATGAAATGATCTTGCTACTTTCTGATCCAATTCCAATCTCCCTAGTTTAATGGGAGTACAATCTAATGACAACCAGGGTGTGCCACTTCTGCTTCTTGACACTATGGTTTTGGGGTGGGGGAGCCCCAATATACTATCTTGGCTGAAACAGAAAAGGGCCCCAGTAGGAAAATGTGGTAGATTCCTTGGAAGGATATTTTGTCCTAGCTCTTTTTTGTCTATGGAACAACAACAACAATAAAACTCATTTGTACAAATGTATTAAATTTTTTTACAGTAAATCCAGCCTAAGAGGTTATCAAAAAACTAATGGGATACACACTTTTGTTTCCTTTTGCTGTTCATAATTAAACTGAATGCTTTCTTCATAATACCTGTGAAAGCTGGAATGTGTAGTCAATTTATATTAGGGGAGAGTCCAAAATTCCAAGCTATTTCTTTTGAATTCCAGAAATGAGTGGAAGTTGCAGCCCTTCCAAAAAAAATGTCCAGTCCTCGACAGCTCAACGAGCTGGTTACCTGGCTGTGGGGGGCAGAAGTTGGGAATTCAGTTCCTCCCTGTGCCTCCTGGGAAAAGAGCCAGCCTCCGTAGCTTTGGGCAAGCTGCAAAGTCCCTGGGTGCTTCCAGAAAAAGGGAATGGGAAACCACTTCTGAGGACTATATACCCAGGAAGCCTTGGAAAAAGCTGCTATGTCATAATCAGCATGGCAGCACAAAGTTTTTAAGTATCTTCAAGCTCTCCAGTTAAGTATCTTCAAGCTCTCCTAATTTTATTAGTATAATTTACAGGAGGGAGAGGTAATTTGGTACTGATCTTGCTAGATCACTGTATGTAAAAAATCTAATCAGGATCACCCAGTGCTCTAACAGCAGGTTCTAGGGAACGTCTGGTGTGGTGGACTAGTATGTTTGAGGAAAAAGCCCTGTTCCTTGTCTCATTTCATACATGTAGGGTCTTCCAGATCATTGAGCAGGTGAACAAAATCTCCATCTTTAAAACTATGTTCAGATAGACACCAGTAGGTTGGTGGTGGCGCTGCCTGCTCTTTCTCTGACATTTGTGTTTTCCATGCATTGAAATAAGTTCCCAGAAGTGATTAAAGGCCCAATAAGAGTAGAAGTACTCTGTGAGAGACCCGGTCCACACACAAAGCTTGTTGCATAAACAAATCTGTTTATTTCTTGTAGTGTGCCGTTCAGTTTTCCACATGCATCGCAAGATGCCTGCTATACATTCCGACTTTCACATGTGTTACGAAGAAAGCATTCAATTTAATTATGAAAGCATTCAGTTTAATTAGTAAAAGGAAGCAAAAGTGTGGATCCCACCAGCTTGGTGACAACCTCTGGGGCTGAATTTAGGATCCCACCAGCTTGGTGACAACCTCTGGAGCTGAATTTACCTTACATTAGACCTGGGCAAAGTGCAGCCCAAGGGCCACATGCAGCCCACAAGCCGCTCCTGTCCGGCCTGCGGACAGTTTTGAACATCAAAACCATTTATAAATTTTTGTCTTAAGTTGATCAGTTGCTTAGCTTTAACATACCGCAAAAAACCTCTTTAGTATTTGTGAAGATTAACAAGTTTAAAATAAAAACAATCACAACATCACTGTTTCATTTTATTTTTAATTAAAGTTGGTTCGGCCCCTGAACACAGTTCAGATTTTTCATGTGCCCCCCCTATAGAAATTAATTGCCCACCCCTGCCTTACATACTTTTAATAAAGTAAAGAGTCTTTTTATACCTTTGAAACATCATTGATCAAAATCCGTTTCTCTCATCCAGAATGGGAGAAAATGTTCAGCCCAGAGGCCAGACTGCCACTTGGCTTATCTTCTGGGAACTATGCACCTCTGCTTGACATGGCCCAGTTCCAAAGTAGTCATGTTAGTAGACTAACTTATTCTTTCATACCCCATGCACATGTGCGTGCACATGCACAAACACACACAATTCACACAAATATGCAGTTCGCATGCACGTGCATGTACATGCATCATAAGCAGAGTAGGCACTCAAGACACTTTACATGTCCTTTGCCCCTAGTAGCTGAAGCATTAACGGCTGTTGACAAGCTTTGCATTTTTTTTTTTACTTACTAATACTACGGAGCCTTTCAGAGTTATTCTAATGGAATTTCTGGAACCAATCCCCTTCCCTACCCCAGTAAAGTACAAAAAATACATCAGATTTAACTGAAAATAATAATTTGTACGCTGCTGCTAACTCAATAAATGTTAAGAGCATAAATAATGTGCTTAGTGCTAGCCTTCATTGTATCATTTGAGCAAAGTTGCATCCTTGTTTATACCTTTATTTTTGTATCTTTCGTGTCAGAATTACTGTTTTTTTATATAGTGCAGGTTATTGATACTCATCAAAGCATGGTTAAAAAGAACATGGGTGCTTTAATTTTCCAGATTTATAAAGATAACAAAGCAGCATCAGTGAAACCCTGAGGAATTAAGCCACATGGCACGATCTTAACATGTGCTTGCAGAGAACATTAGCAATAACTTTTTTTTAAAAAGTTCAGTCGTTTTATTAATCTAACAACCTGATTTGAATTTGGTTTCTCAGACACTGCGTGCTGCTGGCAAAGCATACATGATTTTCTTTGTTCTGGTGATTTTCCTGGGCTCCTTCTACCTGATCAACTTGATCTTGGCCGTTGTCGCCATGGCCTACGAAGAACAGAATCAAGCCACCATAAAAGAAACAGAGCGGAAGGAGACTGAATATCAGCAGATGCTTGAACAACTAAAAAGGCAACAAGAGGAAGCTCAGGTACTAGCCTTCCTACACAGTGCGTTCCACAAATTTTAGACCAGAGTGGATGGATATACTTCCCAGTCTAAAAGAGTTCCATTGTGCATTTGATGAGAACTCTCATACAAGAAAAAGATTCAAATCCAGACCCTATTAATAGTGTTATAGACTTAAGGAGTATTTCTGGCATAAAGAATGGAACATCCCTTACACTAGTAGCGCTGTCTTAGAACTTAGTAGGGTTAGTGGATTGTAACATTTTGTGGATAGTAATGTTGAATCAAAATACTAGTTTTAAAACATGTAATTCCATGACACACTTGACAATACTATATAGAAATTTAAAATAAATCAGATCCTGCTTCTAGCAAATATATCATCCTAATCCTTTGGTAAATAGGCTTTAGCAGAAGAAATCATTTGTTTGTACTTGTTCATATCCAAACATAGCATAATTGTTCATATACAAACATGAATGCATGTGTATGTAGAGATAGAAGCGGAGGTACAAGTATGGCCAAGATAACATCATGAGGAACACTGCATTATGGCAGTTCACAGTGTTCTTCTAGGTGGAACGTTAACAGTGCTTGATCTCTTGATACAACAGGCATTAGCAGCAGCAGCAGCTTACAGAGACTTTAAGGATGATGGTACCCTTGGAAGACTTTCTGAAACATCTTCAGAATTGTCACGGCTGAGCTCAAAGAGTGCTAAAGAAAGAAGAAATCGAAGAAAGAAAAAACGGCAGAGAGAGCTGTCTGTGGGAGACAATAAAGTGAGTGGGGGGGGAATGCCAAAATCGGAATCAGATGGTAGCATTAAAAAGAAGGGGGGGGGTCCATTTTCCATGGAAGGAAACAGACTCACTTATGACAGAAGGACCGTTTCTCCATACCAGGTACATTGTGGTGCTGTTAGAAATGTTCCACTTCCAGAGAGGGTCTGGATGATGGGGCCACCATCACAGAGATTTTCATATATATATGTATATATATTGTCAGAGATATATATATGGGTGGGAGGTGACACTGGTGAAATCAATTCTAAAATATCTTACGTCTTAGGGTTTGCCATAAGTCAAATGTGACTTGATAGCACATAACACACATAGAAGAAGTAAGGGAAGAAGCAAAGCCAGAGGCTCAGATCTAGATCCCTCTACATATCACTGCATGCACAAGGATGTTTTAAGGTTGCTTCAGCACAGTGGTTACTGAGCCTCATTCCTCATCATCCTTTTTATTATGTGAAGGACAAACAACTGAAATAAAGGACATGTTTGCTATTTGAAGGGCTTGGAAGAGGCAGGAGTTGTGACTTAAAGCAGAAGGTGTTTATCCCTTCTCACACCTGCTTCTTCTTTTCTGCATATCTCTTCCTTCATGACTTTCCTAAAGGTTATTGTGGATTTTAAAAACAATCTATCTTGTCCTTATGTTCTGCTTCTTGATACATGGCAAGGCAAATTCCCCTTAACGGAATTGTATTAAAACAGTAAAAGGAAAATATTTTAACCTTAATCCACCCAGCCAGGTCATTTTTATCTTCCTCCCATCCCAAACAAAGTTGTAGAAGTCATGCAGAACCAGACCTGTGTTTGAGGACATGGATATCTGATGAGTTACAAACTGGGTTCCTGAGATTCAGCCACTGGTCCTATTCAGGTTCTGTTTTTGTTTTGTTTTGTTTTTACAGACAGATGACAACTTAGACAAAATCTCTTGCTTTTTGCCAGTGTGGTAATTTTGTAAGCTAGTGTAACATAAACTAGAATATACGCACACAAAAGTCCCATGCTGTTTTGTGGAGAATCATGAAGTAGAAGTGAAATACTCTGGGTATCAAGGGTTGGCCCATTTTGAGGGCAAGGGAATGAATGGGTCATTGAAATCCCCAGTGGGTTTAGGAAATACATGATGTGTGAAGTTAAGCCAGACTCTTAACGCTGACTCTGGCCATAACCCTAACTCTAATTTCTAACAACACTGCTAACCCTGAATATGCTGGAATTCTTGTGGAGAGAAAATTTTAAGTACACCAGAACTCAATACTTGGGGACAACTTCTTCTTATGACTTCTGAGTACTGAAGGAGTGTCAGATATGTGAACGTTTTTTTTTCATTGCAGAAAAGCTGTGCTCCGAAATGTAAACCATAGCAAACAAAAGGAGCTTGCTGACATTGCTGTCAGAGCAAACAATATCAACTCAACAGAACAGCTTAGGTTTTGTTTTGCTCAGCTCTTGAAGTGCTCCCATCAAGTTTTGTCAGAGATACCTTGATGAATTGTCAAATCCAGTACATTCTCAGTGGGTGGCAGGAGTGGGCAACCTCCCAAAGTTAAAGAGCTGCACACTCCTACCCCTCAAACTTGGAAGACCACTCCCATGACCCCCCCGTGCCAGTGCCCCCGCAAGACAAATATGTTTTCAAACTTTTAAAAAAAAACCTTGCTCCCTCTAGTGGCCATACACTACAGGGATAACTCATCATATACTGTACTGTGTATATATCGCATATATAGTCGTGCCCCACTTAACGATTACCTCGTATAACGACAAATCTGCTTCATGACGATGTTTTTGCAGTCACAATTGCGATCGCAAAACAATGTTTTAAATGGGTTTTTTCCGCTTTGCGAAGATCGGTTCCCTGCTTCGGGAACCGATTCTTCGCATTACGACGATCAAAACAGCTGATTGTTGGGTTTTCAAAATGGCCGCCGGGTGCTCAAAATGGCTCCCTGCTGTGTTTTTGGATGCATTCCTCACTCTACAGGCACAAAAAATGGCCGCCCCTATGGAGGATCTTCACTGGACGGGGAGTTTTTCAGCCCACTGGAACGCATTGAACGGTTTTCAGTGTGTTTCAGTGGGCTTTTTTATTTCGCTTTACGCCATTTTCGCTCTACAGCGATTTCGCTGGAACGAATTAACATTGTTAAGCAAGGCACCACTATATATAGGACCAGGGAAGATGGAAAGAAGATTGCCCCCATCCCTCTTAGAAGAAGACAATTGTTAAGCAAGGCACCACTGTATATAGGACCAGGGAAAGAAGATTGCCCCCATCCCTCTTGGAAGAAGACGGCAGATTTATTAGCCATTTTTGAAAATTAAATTTGAGGGTGGATGCATGTGCCAGGGGTGGTGCTCCATGTTGCTTACCCTGCTGCTTGGGAAGGTATTCTAGTGATCTGGGATCTGTTCTGAAAACACAACTGACAGCTAGGACTCTGGTATTGTTTTGTGGATGTTTATCTAACAATTCTGTTCTGTTCACACCTCTGTATAGTCCATGCTGTTTCCCACAAGGCGCAGTAGCAGAGTGAGCTTTTCCAGCTTCAGAGGTCAAACTACTGAAGGGGGCTCAGACGCCGATAGCGAATTCAGCACCGAAGACAATTTTGTTCTACCCAGACGGCGCAGCAGTAACATAAGTCAGACCATGTTCCCAGTGTTTCCAGCAAATGGGAAGATGCACAGCAGCGTGGATTGCAATGGGGTGGTTTCCTTGATAGGAGGACCCTCCATACTTCTCTCACCTACTGGACAGCTTCTCCCAGAGGTGATAATAGATAAAGCAACTACTGATGACAGTGTAAGGATTTTTGAGTAGCATAGGCATGGTGGGTCAACAGAATGGAATCCAAATTGTGAATGCATCTGCATCGTGGAAAAGCTAGCTTATTGTAACTATCCAGGCTTCTCAGAAATGTGCTATACAGAAATTAATGGTCTTGCTGTTGCTGTATGTACTTGCAAACACACACTGAACAGGTGAAGTTTAAAAAAAACAAAAGCAAAAAGGAAGCAGGGGAAGAGAAAGGATAATTTTTTCATGGCCAAATTTACATTTTCCTTATTCTAAGTAAGTACTTCTTAAATTAGAGTAGTCCACTTTCACCGTACACTCTATTTCCTTTGCCCACCCTGTCCCTCATTTCTGCACCTGTTTTCCCAGTGACTTCCATCACATCCTCATTTCCCCATTAGACCATCTCCTACTGCCTTTCTTCAACAGAGAGCAAAGGGCACTCACTTCGCGTTGCCTTGGAAGGAACCCATCAGGGCAAGTAGCCTTCCTCTCTCAGTCCTGTCCTTCCCTGAGGCAGTTCCCTTGCAAGCCACAGAACAACCTTTGGGGAAAGAAGGAAGGCAGGGAGAGAATTGGCCGTCAGTTACCTCCAAAACTTCTGTTGCGTATATACAATAGGAGTGTATGTATTTTCATTTCTCTATCTAAAAGGGACAGAGCTGCTAGGGAGGCATACAGGCATAATTTTGAAAGTTACTTTTTAAAATGCTTATTTAAAAGGTCCCCTCATGACTCATCTTTAGAGTAATTCGTTTTACTGTTTATGTTTCAGTTCTTTATGAAAAACACATTTTTAATGGTAAGAGAATGACAGTTTGAAAAGGAGTGCAGAAATTCCCCTTAAAATCCCACATTTGTAGCCCCTCAAAATGAAGGGCGAAAAATATGGGTTTTTTTACAGACCCCAAAAGATCATGTTGCAAGCCATATTTCCCTTTAAATAAGTAAAGAAAGAAATCTTGTTATGCCCTCACACAGGTGGCCCTTTTATTTGATGCTGCCAGGCTCTGGTTAAAGATCCTGCTGTCACCAGGCTAGAGTCACCTTCCACATTGGGATTCCCATTCTAGTTATTTGTGAAAGACAAATCCTGTACTCAACAACAAGTTGTATGACTAATGAATGAGACACAGATTGACAACTCCTAAATCCTCACTTAACCTATATGTTGTGTTTGCAGGTACATACATTGTGTCCCAGTAAGTCTCCCTTGATTTTTTTGACTGGCATGCTGAAGATCAATTAAGTCAGACTTTTACAGTTAGATAAATGTTACCACAAAAGAATGTGACAAGCTATAAGCTGGGGAAATTGGGCATTAATTATATTGAAAAAGGCACTTATATTGAAAAAGAGACTCCTAGTCTTTTTCAATATAAGGAACTACTCGTGAATGGATTGAAGGCCTGAAAGAAGGTCAGTTCCCACATTCAGTGCTGATAAGTGAAATAATTATTTCACTAAATATTTCACCTCAGCATGATTTCTGTTCCCCCAACCCAGTCTGGATAGCTAAGCATGAAATAAGAAACGCTAGAATGCTGGTTTTGGTTTTTCATGGTTTGATTATCCATAGCTTCCCCCATTTTCCTGATTTAAAAAAAGAAGCACTTTAGATAAATAAGGATAAATAAGGAGAGAGGCTACTAAAGCATTTTGCCTAGTGTTACATTTCAGCACATGGTGGGGAGCATACTCATCAATGTGTGTTAACATTTCATTCGTAAACCTGAAGAAGGACCAGCACCCTTTATCCTAACAGAGCATGTTACCATAGTCTTTCGAGACTGAAGGATGCCTAAGATCTAGGGAAGCAGAAGGATATCAGGCAATTAACAGAGCCTGGGATCAATGTTTCGGTTTAATACCCTTCACCTAACACACTTACATTTCCAGTAAGATTTCCCCAGTGAAGTTAGATTGCTTCCATAATTAGGGTAGGGCTGGCTCTGTTGGAGGAAATAGTGCAATGTTAATACGGTTTGGCTCATTAACATTAATATGCTTATTATCCAGGGGCAGGAAGGAAGTGGGCAATATTATTCTTTCCAAACAATATCTTTGTCCTTGTGGCGTAGTCATTAAAGCTGGAGTATTATGTTTAAGGTTTTGGTTGGGAGATCTAGATTAAAGCCCCACTGAGCCATGGAAGACAATGAGTGACCTTTAGGCATTCACTGTCTCTCAGGCTGACTTGTCTCACAGAACTGTGGTAATGAATATAAATTTGGAGGAAGGGGAGGCATAATATAAATGTCTGTAACATTTATATAAGTGAGTATGTAAATAAGGGTTTTTCTCCAATAAGCAAGTCCATCTTGTTAAGGCTTTCAGTGTAGTCTTTTGCAATGGAATTTTCATATTTCTAGGACTTCAACAAATTAAAGTTCTCACAGAAGCTTTTAGTTCAACACAGGTGGAGAATGAAGACTGTGACAGCCATTATTTATCAGTGAAGAAGAGGAAATTGATGGATGATGCCAAATTCTGTGGTTTACAAGAGATTAGGGGACTAGTAGTCTCTGTGTACATTAGGTTTTGTATAGAGAGCCTTAAAAAATTACCAGTCCCTTAATCCCTTGCAGCTCCCACAGAACTTAGTCTCACCATTAATTTGCTCTTTCTTCGTCATAGGCTGATAAAGACTGCTGGAACCTTCAGTCTGTGTTTCAATTAAACACAACTTGTGCTTAACTGAAAAACTGCGATGACTTCAATTTCTTGGTCAAATCCCCCAGAATTTTGGCCGGATGAATTCCTGGTGAATTCTGGAGACTTAAGCCCAAAAAATATGAAATACACGTCTAGTATCTCGAACCACTAACATTAGTAATAATTTGACCATAACCTGATGTGTTAAAATTTTCCCATCCAGCATTAACCTGAGCAGATTAAACAAGAAATGTTAGTAATGGCTAAGCTCTAAATGTTCCAAGCTCTGGTGATTAATATATGCAAATACCAAGCTATCACATGAAGTTTGTGGGGTCATGAGATATGGGCATTCTCCTGGATGTCCAGATATCTAAAGTGCCCTTAAGTTTAATTGGTGGTGGGTAGCATGTAGAAAATACTTTCTACTATCCGTAGGATCTCTTCCAGCTCTGCAATTCTAGGATTATTGTTATGTTACACTTTTTTAAAGGTATATGAAATATCTGAAGTCCTAAATATTTCTGGCGAACAAAAGTCTGGCATAATATATGCAAAAACACTGAGCTGCATGTGGCATGATTATCTTGGTGCTTAATTGTTTCTTTCAAAATCTTTCTAGTGCAGGCTCCCATAACGGTATTTTTTTTAATACCCCACTGCAGAGTACTGCATCTGAAATGGATAGCAAAAGAAGGCGGTCAAGTTCTTTTCAGATATCAATGGATTTACTGGAAGATCCCACCATAAGACAAAGGGCAATGAGTATCGCAAGCATAATAACAAACACAATGGAAGGTATGCTTGTGTGTGTGAATGTATAAAACTATCGTGAAGTAACAATTGTCTTTTTAAAAAAAAACACTCTGAGAAGACATAAAGAATCATATGAAACTGAGGAAAGCACTAATGATAAATACTAGGGAGAAGCAGAACAAACTGTGTTTATCATACAGTCAACATAAGAGTTTATTGATTGTTGCCAGTGGGAGCAAGCAGTACCATGCATGACTAAATGGATCAGCAGAGATCCAACACTACGGACAGAGGGCAGGTGTTTAAGCCTTTCTTCTCTAGCCACAGTCCTATGAAAGAGGAATTTGATGCAACTTCAGGCATAGAATACTTAGATTTAATCCCCTCCTGTCATTCTGCGAGATAGGACCACTGAATCAGCCAATCAAAAAAACTGTGGTTTATTATATGAGATATTGCTTCTGTGTCAATGATTCAAAATGCCAGGAAATAGTGAACATTACTTTGCAATATCATGCCCATGTTGCCAGCAGTGAAAAGTATACCTGACACTACATTACAAAAGGCAGCCTGAATATTGACATCACCCACATCAGCAGTCAAGATAATCTAAGTGGATCCCCTCTTGTGCTCACTGCCATTCATAGAGAGATACCAAGCAAGGGGAAATCCTAGAATCTGCTTTTTTCATCAGTTAATTACTTCTCATGAAAACACAAACATGTTTTTCAAAATATTTTCTATGTATTTATTGCTTGGGGCAAAAATCAATCTGAATACCTAGAGGAAATGTGGATTTCAGTATCATTTTGGCCAGACATAAGCCCCATTCTCTTCAGTGAGACTCACTAGTCTTCTGAAGTACTGGCAAGACAGTTGCTGCAGAATACTGCAAGAAGCATCTGCAGCCAGAGTTTATGGAAGACGTTCTACATAAAATAAGCATTTTTAATGTCCTGAGTCTTCTGACAGCATGGAACAACTTTAATTGAGGGGAAAAAAAGCTGTAGCGGGAAATATTTCTTTTCAGGCAGCAGTAGTAGGCATTTGAGAAACCAACTATAGAATTGGTTAGGTGCCATGAAAAAATTATAGCAAAACAAATTCACAGGATATAGGTGTCCCATGCAAAAGTTATGAAGTTTTGTTTTGACTGTCTCCTCCCATCAGCAATGATTAACAGAATGCTGTGTTGACTGGTCATGCAAATATCAGAGGTGTACTCCTGTGTACTTTGAATGTTCAGTGTGAAAGAAGAGGGACAAGCAATAATACTTTGTACTCTCAGTCTGATTCCAAATTATGGTTTTCTGACTATAAATTACTCATAAACATCTTCCAGTTCTGCCTTCTGGGAGGGTTCTGGGACCTTGCAGCTTATTTAAGGGTACACAGGTAACAAGACTTGTAATCTTATCAGTCACACATGCCGTGGGTGATCTTGGCATATCCCTTTCCTGGAAGGCACAATGAGCTATACTCATTTAGAAGGATAGATATTCCTTTGTATATTTTGCACAATCCTCAATAAATACAGAAGCTTGGAAAATTATATTTTTAGGCTACAAGTTATAGTGTTCACACTGGCTGAAGAAAGAGAGTTGTAGTCCAGAAAAGGAACCTTTTCATGCTCTAACTGAATGCCACGACAAATTGTATATTCCTGTCTCACATATTTTACTGGAGGAATAGCTGATCAAGTAAGACTACAGTAATATATAATGCATTAAAATTTGCAAATGTAAGATTACATTTTCATTGTCTTTGTTTTTCCTATCCAATATAACCACTGAATAAATATGTCATCTTTCTGTTTTCAATATGCTTCCTTCAGAACTTGAGGAATCCAGGCAGAAATGCCCACCATGCTGGTATAAATTTGCCCACTCCTACTTGATTTGGGACTGTTGCGACAGTTGGTTACAAATAAAGAAATTTGTTTATTTTGTTGTGATGGATCCATTTGTCGATCTCGGCATCACCATCTGCATTGTTATAAACACCCTGTTTATGTCCATGGAACATTATCCAATTGAGAATTCTTTCAGTGAGGTTCTTAAAACTGGAAACCTTGTAAGTGAAGTTTTACATTAGATAATTTTCTGATTGGGGAACTCAAATCTCCTTGGGCAACATTCTGAAAAAGTTTTCTAATCTGAATGCCTGCTCAGTGAATGTTCTTTTATAAGAGATAGAGTTGTGTTAGTCTGTGCAAGCATATCAGGCAAAACCCAAAGGAGAAAAATGAAATAAAAAAATACAAAAACCTCTAGCACCTTAAACACTAACTGTTATATTTTAAGGTGAGCTTTCATGGACAAGCCCATTTGTCCATGAAGCTTTACCTGATATGTCCGAAGATGTGGTGTTGTCCAGAAAAAGCTCACGTTAAAATATAACGGTCTTTGCTGCCACTAGGTTTTTGCCTTTTTAATTTTTATTATTTTCTTTGGTTTTTTTCTAGATATGGTCATTGAATGTTTCTAAACATTTTATGAACCACAAACACTGATTTTTAGAGTCTCCATAGCCAAGCTCCCAGGGAGAGTACTAGCCTAGTACTATGTTATCTTATCACAGCTTTCCAAGACAATAGATATTAATATTTTCCTAGCTCTGCAACCTGAAATCATTTACCTGGAATCTGATTTATGCAAAGCATAATCATGCTTCCTTTGCCTAAATCCTTCTAACAAGTAACACTTGTACCAGCCAACCACCAGTATTGCCAGCAGTTCAGCTTTGGGGTTGTGTGGGGTGGATGAATGTTACATTAGTGGTTTATAGCACTGGTTCTTAACCTTGGGTTACTCAGGAGTTTTGGACTGCAACTCCCAGAAGCCTTCACCACCAACTGTGCTGGCTGGGGTTTCTGGGAGTTGCAGTTCAAAAACATCCGAGTAACAAAGGTTAAGAACCACTGGTTTATAGCATCTTTGTAAATTCCCAGTACAGCCCAGTTCACTGCAAACTTGCAAACAGGAAAGTACACAGGACAGAACACAACTCCCAGAATCCCATATGCAACATGACCAGTGCTTCCTGGGGGATTCTGATAGTTCAAAAAAGTAGCTTTTCCAAGCTCTAAGTTGCGCATCAGTGGAATTTCAGCAGTATATTGTATTCAAGCATTTTTATGTTTACTTTCATGCACATAGGCAATGAAACAAATCACAGTGGTTTAAAAGGAAAATAATCTGGGAAATTGAGGGGATATAGTAACTGACCCTTAGCATTCTGTACTTAGGTCTTCACTGGAATCTTCACAGCAGAAATGGTCCTCAAACTAATAGCCCTGGATCCTTATTATTATTTTCAAGAAGGGTGGAATATATTTGATAGCATCATTGTCAGCCTGAGTTTGATGGAGCTGGGCCTTTCAAATGTGGATGGACTGTCAGTCCTAAGGTCCTTCAGATTGGTAAGCTTAATGCTAAATCCCAGTGCTGACTGGGTCACTGACATGCAGGGACAGGATGATCATTTGCTATATAGTTACAGTTCTTCTTGGGCCAGAAATTGGCTTGAATTGATTCAAGATTTCCTGAAATTCAACAGAATTTCTATGTTTTATAAATCCCCAATCAAGTGCCGACTAATCCACATTCATAGCAAAACATAATATATTATTTCTCTGATGGTACCATAACTCACTGGGCTTTGATAAAGTCTCAGCCAGGGCATCCAAGTTTTCCTCTTTGTTTGCAGAGAAAAAAGGTCTGTTTCTACTCATGTACATTACGTGAACAGCTTTGCCAAGTTCTGCTTTAAGAAAGAGAACTACTGTATTTTTCAATGTATAAGATGCCCCCCTCCCCACTTTTCTAACCCAAAATTAAGAAAATTTAGCTTTGAGTATTCAGCTTCTGTGCTCAAAACGCTTGGACATTACGAGTCCCTGTTGAATCTGAGCAGTGCCTTCAGGCTCCACCTCCAAGGTGTGTTCCAGTTGGTTTGTACAGCATCAGCTGACATCAGTTACATAATGCTCATGATTGGAGAAAGCTAGCTAAGCCTTGTGACTGGAGGCAGCCTGTTTGCAGAAGCAAATGTGCCATTTTGTTCTCTCCTCAGCTTCTTTGTATGAGACGACCCTCAATTTTTAGTCTAAATATTTTAGACAAAAGTATTGTCTTATACATGGAAAAATATGATATATGTGCTTACATGTGAAAGCCAGGAACCAAAAAATTAATCCCACAATTCTTTTTTGTTGCTTTTAGCATTTCTTGCCAACCTTAGCTCATTCTCAGCTTTTTTCTTCCTAATGCCATCCATAGAATTCTTTGCTACTTATCTACTTTTCCTTTCTGGCCTGGCCTTCCTTCCACTTCCTATAAGAGTCATGTTTTGTTTTCAGATTTGCTCTGAGCTTTTTGTGAAGCCACATTGGTCTCTTTTGCTGTTTCCCACCCTCCTCCCCCCCCCTTGATAGTGTTTGTAATTATGCCTTTAGAATTTCCTTTTTTAGAAACTCCTACCCATCTTGGACTCTTTTTTTTGTTCTGAGTTTATTAAAATTGGCTTTCGTAAAATCCACCATACATGTGCAAATACAGTCAACTCTTCCTGGCTTTGAAATCAAGAACTCAGATAGAACGTGGTCAATCTCCCCCTGAGTTCCCTTTACTGCTACTCCCTCCACTAAGTCATTATTGGTTAGAATCAAGTCAAGGATAGCTTCTAGTTTCTACCTCCAGTTTTGTAGGAGAAAATTATAAGCAAGAAAAACCAGGGATTTCTTGAAATGACCATGTTTGGTAGAATTTGTCTCCCAACAGTTATTGGGGTAGTTTAAGTCTCCTATTACTACATTGTGCTTCCTTGAAATTCTTCCAGTTTGTTTTTCATAGATTTCATCTGTCTCTTCTTGATTGGATAGTTGGTAGTAGAGCTAAACTGTTAATTTAATACAGATGCCCTCGATGGGACAGTCAAGCTCTCCTTTATTTCTATGCCGGAAAATGTATTTTTTGACATATTCTTCTTTTTCAACAATTTATATCCTCCAACTGCTGTATTCCACTCATAGGATTCATCTCACCAAGTTTAAATCATCCCTGTTCAGTTATTCTTCCTGAATTAAAATTTCCAGCTCTTCTTGTTTGTTTTCCCAGCATTGGTGTATAAATATTGCAGATTGTGTGATTTGTGGCCTGGTTTCCTTCCTGTGTTTTTGTAAAGACTATTATTGGGCCCCATTAGAGCTGCTTGCTCCTTTCCTCTTATTGTGCATAATTAGTCTTCATCTGTCGTTTGTAATAGGTAAGCTGATGCCATTCATATTTCTTAAACTACATGTTCTGTAATACCTGGGTGGTCTTCCTAAACAAGAGCTTATTGGAAATATACGGCAGAACATATGAAGTGTTCCTGTTTGTTAATCTTTGCTGTAGGCCATAGTTCAGTAAGAGAGAAAGAGATTTTCTTAATGGGGCTATGGAACTGATGGAGCTCCTACTTCTGTATCTCTCATAGTCAACAGTAGAATCCTAGCTGTGTAGGATTGCAGTTATAGGCCTAAACCCAGTGTTAGTCACAGCTAGAGGAGTACTTACGTAAGAGGTAACAAGTTTCCATTGATTCAGTAAGTCTACTCTAGTTGGAACTGTGTTGAGTCTGCATCTGTTTGTTAGCTTCTCATATATATAAATTATTTGTTTTCAGCTTCGAGTCTTCAAGCTGGCAAAATCCTGGCCAACTCTAAACATGCTGATCAAGATTATTGGCAACTCCGTGGGTGCCCTGGGGAACCTGACTTTGGTCCTGGCCATTATTGTCTTCATTTTTGCCGTGGTTGGAATGCAGCTGTTTGGCAAAAGTTACAAGGAGTGTGTCTGCAAGATCTCCAGCGACTGTGTGCTTCCACGCTGGCACATGAATGACTTCTTCCACTCTTTCTTGATCGTCTTCCGAGTACTTTGTGGTGAATGGATAGAGACCATGTGGGATTGTATGGAGGTTTCAGGCCCACCCATGTGCCTTATTGTTTTCATGATGGTCATGGTGATTGGAAACCTTGTGGTATGTCTTTTTAGCCGTTGTTTTACACAACAGTGGCTTGTAATTGATTTATTGTTTAGTATTCCACAGCTATTGTGCAAAATGGTTGCAGCTCATTATGTATATATCTAGAGCAGAAAGATGTCCCATCTTTTCCTTATACAATGGCACCCGAGACAACTAACAGCAAGTATAATGTCTTCACATTTCTTTCAGAGAACTTTAAGGGTTATTTATTTATTTATTGTATTTGCGATGGTGAATTTATTGTTTGTTATTTATTTATTTATTGTTTGTTTATTATATTTAAAATATTATAATATAATATTTTTTATTTCTCCTTTCTCCTTAAAATGGACCCAAGGCAGCTTACATAATTAAAAAGGCAATATTCAAAAGCTAAAACAGTACATATACAGTGCTGCCCCACATAGTGACGATAATCCGTTCCGCTATACGGATTCGTTGCTATGCGGAACAAAAACCCCATAGGAATGCATTAAAACATGTTTAATGCGTTCCTATGGGCAAAAAACCCTCACTGTTATGTGAAAATCCTCCATACGGCCGCCATTTTCGCTGCCCGGTAAGCGAGGAAAAGGCATGAAAACACTGCAGGTGGCCATTTTTTTTACCCAACGGCCATTTTGGAACCGCCGATCAGCTGTTAGAAAAAACATTCGCAAAGTGATGTTTTACCATTTAAAACATCGCAATGTGATCGCTTTTGCGATCGCAAAAAAGCCATCGCTATGCGGATTCATCATTAAACGGGGCGCCCATTATGCAGGGCACCACTGTAGTACATATACAAATATTTAAAAGTTTGAGGCCTTTCCTGATTATCTTAACACCCGGACAGGTTCATAAAGAGAGATGCAAACCTGGAGATAGCTTGGATCCAAGATGTTTAGGACTTTATAGGTTAAAACCAGGACTTTGAATTGTGCCCAGTAACTGATCAGCAGCCAGTGGAGCTGCTGTAATGGGGGGTTTATATGTTCCCTGTAACCAGCCCCAGTCGGCAATCTGGTTGCTGCATTTTGTGCCTGTTAAAATTTCCTGACACTTTCCATCGGCAGCCCCATATAGAGCCCATTACAGTAACCTAGCTGGGATGTCACCAGGGCATGTGGCCAAATCAGACCTCTCAAGAAATGGGTGCAGGTGGCACACTAGTTTTAACTGTGCAAAGGCTGTCCTGTCCACTGCCGAAACCTGGGCATTCAGGCTCAGGGACAAATCCACGAACACCCCCAAGCTGCATACCTGTGTTTTCAGAGAGATAGTACCCTGTTTCCCTGAAAATAAGACTAACCTGAAAATAAGCCCTAGTATGGTTTTTTAGGATACTCGTAATATAAGCCCTACCCCCAAAATAAGCCCCAGTTGAGTGAAATCCCGGCCTCCACCACTGTGCAGGCACCAGAATAAGATGACATGACAGTATTTGAATAAATGTAGGTTGTTGTACATGGAAAAAAAAATAAAGCATCCCTTGAAAGTAAGCCCTAGTGCGTTTTTTGGAGCAAAAATTAATATAAGACCCTGTCTTATTTTCGGGGAAACATGGTAACAACAATCAGCACAGGCTGCAGTCCTATTCCTTGATTGGTTTTCGACTGTCCAGGAGCGCTTCTGTGTTGTCTTGATCAAGATTCAGTTTATTCGTCTTCATCCAGTACATTACTGACACCAGACACTGATTTAGAACCAAGACAGCTCCCTTAGATTTAGATTGAAAGTATATGGTTGGGTGTCATCAACGTGCTGGTAACACTGAACTCCTAAACTCCAGACAACCTCTTCCAGTAGTTTCATGTAGATGTTAAATAGCATAGGGGACAAAACAGAACCCTGAAGGACAAAAGTCCCCCCTCAAGGAAGGATCAGAGCCACTGTAGAACAGTGCCTCCCAGCCCCATCCCAGAGAGATAACCTAGAAGGATGATATTGAAAGCCACTGAGAGGTCCAGCATAACTAACAGTGACACACTCCCCCCGTCTAGTTCCCGGCACAGGTCATCTACCAAGGTGACCAAAGCAGTCTCTGTCACATAAACCTGAAGGCAGATTGAAATGGATCTAAATAATCCATGTTATACAGGAACCCCTGGAGCTGAGAAGTCACAATCTGCAACAGTACCTTGCCCAAGAATTGGATATTAGAGACTGGCCAATAATTATCCAGTACCATGGGGTCCAAGGAGGGTTTTTCAATAATGGTCTTATTACTGCCTCCCTTAAACATGCTGGGATCCTTCCTTTCTGCGGGGAGGCATTCACTAACCCTTGGATACACTTGGCCAGTCCCTCTCTGGCAACTTTTATAAGCCAGTAGGGGGAAGGGTCCAGCAGGCGTGCGATGGCCTTCACTGGTTGCAACTTTTATAAGCCAGTAGGGGGAAGGGTACAGCAGGCGTGTGGTGACCTTCACTGGTTGAAGAATCCTGTCCACATCATCAGGCTGCAAAAACTGGAACTTATTCATTAACACTAGACAAGCAGGAGCCATAGCTACATCTACAGGACCTGTATTAACCATAGCATCCAGGTCAGAGAGGATCCAAGTGATTTTGCCCGCAAAGTGCTGTGTAAATCTTTTGCAGTAAGCTAACAAGTGCTCAACACTACCTTCCTGTGGACCATAATATAACAGAGCTTCAGCCACTCAGGCTCTGCTGGGCGATTTTGTGCAGACACAATGGTGGCAGCAAAGAATGACTTCTTTGCTGCTGCCACACTCGATTTTGTGCAGACACAATGGTGGCAGCAGAGAATGACTTCTTTGCTCTGCCACACAATAGGCCTTCCAGTGGGCTCTAGCTTATGTTCAGTTGGATTCACTCCCAAGTTTTCCATCATCATCACTCTAGTCTCCATCCCATTCATTTCATCACCACCAACTGCCCAGTAAACCAGGGGGCTAGTTTGGCTCTACTTCGTGAGAGAGGATGCTTAGGCCCGGATAACTTCCAGAGGTGTTGGACTGCAACACGCACTGTCCCCGTTTAGCATGCCCATGTCTGTACCAGTTGGGGGTGATGGAACCTGTAGTTCAGAATATGTAAAGGGCACCAGATGGCTGCTGTAGGCTGCTTCCAAGGATTCCTGTGCCTATACTCACAAAAATCCCTAGATCTACTGTATTATGATTATGATTTTCCGGACCATATGACCATATTTTGGGTCCCAACAAGGGACCCAAAGCACCTCACAGTGTTAAAATTCACACAATTAAAAACACAAGTTAAATATTAAAAGGCAAATTAAACAATATATGATTTTAAATTAAATTAAAAGATAAAAACATGAAAAAGATTTAAATTATCTGCTAGAATGGGGTTCAGGGATTCACTATACGATCTCTTTAATGATCACACAATGTTTCACGTTTCTAGATTTCATCGTCTTAGAACTGTGGTGGAGGCAGCCACATAAGGACATACCTTTGACTGTTGTTAAATGTGCCACATTGAAATATGAATTGAAAGTACATAGGAACAATTAAATTGTTACCCAGAGAGATTGACTGCATTATTTTCCCTCATGCAGGTATTAAACCTCTTTCTGGCCTTATTATTGAGCTCTTTTAGTTCAGATAGCCTTGCTGCTCCGGAACAAGAAACAGACGCCAACAATCTGCAAATTGCTGTAGCAAGGATTCTGAGAGGAATAGATCATGTAAAAAGAAAAATACTTGAATTTTTTCAAATCATCCTTTTGCAAAAATGTAAGGCCTCCCCGGAAGTTGATTTTGCTGATGAACAAAATAACAAGAAAGGCGGGTGTGTTCCCAACCACACTATAGCTGAGATCAACAAAACTCTTGATTATTCCAAAGACAGAACAACCACTACCCTATGCACTGATCCTATGTCCTTCATCAACAACCCGAATCTCACTGTGACGGTCCCAATAGCTATGGGAGAGTCCGATTTTGAACATTTAAATACGGAGGAACTTAGCAGTATATCAGAGATTGAAGAAAGTAAAGAGGTAAGAAATTAAATTATTTCACAGAGAGATACTGTAGAGAGGGTTTTTTTTGACAGATTTTCAAAACTATAAGGTATGTGCAGTTACTCATGGATGGATGCATTTAGTTGTGTTGTTTCTTTTAGGCTTTGTGACACTTTTAAACCTAATCTCTCTCTCTCGTTTGGGTATTCTTGCCTATGTCTGTATTGAAATTAGCAACATACTTTTTTATCATATAGAAACAGGATTGTAAGCTATGTTTCATTCACAAAATGGCTCTGGCTCTACTTGCACATTGTTGGCAGCAGAGTACAAAATGGCTGAAAATTAATGCACATTTGATAAGAGTTGCAAATCTGCATTCCCATAAAGGATTGGAAATTTAGGAAGATGTGATGCATGAAACAGGGCAGAACTCAGGCTAAAACTCAGGGAGTCAAATCAGCATCTCATCTGCCATAAAGTTGTTCAGAAGCCGTGACATGTCTGGCATCATGGAAGTCAGGAAAGATAAGAATTCAAATGTCCTGAATTGTTGTTATGTAACAACAGTAAATAGCTCTGCTTGCAGCCACTCAACTAATTCTAGGCTAGAAAACAAGATATCGTTTAATCCATGGTAGAGTATGTGCAGATACTATCCAATCTGATTTGTTGCATACAAAGGTGGGCTGACTAGCCGTGAGATCATGAGGGATTATCCTGAACTGATTTACTCTTGGGTTTCTGAAAGTATTTGTATGTTTCCAAATCAGGAGGAAAAAAAGAACTAAATATATGGAAAATAACGAGCTATGACCTGAGATGGCAGATACCATTCAGGGCCATCAGCAATGGGACTGTGGTGGACCTTCAGTGTGTAGGCAGAGCTGCTCTCAGACTCTTTCCTTTTTTTTTCACTCCTGCAGTGAGCTGTGCTCAAGGGAATGGGTGTTGGGAGTGTGGAAGATGTCCTCTTAGTGTCCCCAGTCTGTAGCCTAGCTTTTCAAGGTTTGTTTATCCACAGCTCAGCCCAGTCAGAGTGTTGCACATAGCCACACTGGAACATATGCCATTATTCCCAGGAAGGGGGAGGGGAACCATCTGCGAATTAATGCCAGCCATAGGCATTCGAAAGCAAAAGGAAGTAGAAAATGGCATGTTTGGGGGGGGGATGAGGATCATCTCTAGTAAGTTCTACTTTGACCTACTCAGTCAAAGCCCATACAAGAGAGCATTCCAGTTTCTGGGGGAAATTTATGTTTTGCTAGACAGCGGCTTGTCAAAGAAACAGAAACAACGCAAAAAGGTACAGAGTTCTTGCCATCATTTCCCTGTTTTTGAAAAACAGGTAAGGTATGATCTGAATGTGTAGAATATATATATTTTAACTTATATAACACTGCCTACTTCTTATTTTTAAATAATGAGCAGAGTAATCCTAGGAGGTATGTCAGCCTTCCTATTTATTGTGTTCGCCCTTTTCCCCCCCCTACAAACTTCTTGACTGAGAGTGAAAGAATAGAAGATTTGCAGTGTTGTTTGTGGTGTTACCAGAGCTGGAAGCATAGATGTCAGTGTGCTTACAACTTCATTACCTACCATCCTTACTTCTCACAGGATTAAGATCAAGCTGGATCATCCCAAGAGTACAGCTCTGGTGCTTTTTTAACCAGACAGACCATTTGCCAGCCCTTATGAACAGGTTAACACTATACATTGTATGTGTTTGATCACTGCTGAATAATGATAGAGAGACATGCATGCTACTAAGCACAATTTATGCCACCTTCATCCATTGCAGGACTTGTGAAAATGTGCACAAAGCGATCTGTAATCTGAGTCATGTGGCTCACATCACAGCATAACTGGGCCAGTCCACAGCATTCACTGTGTTTGGATTATTGCATAGCATTTAAATATATAATCTGCATGTTTTGGTACAGTTTCCCTTCAATTGTACGTTAAAAGAACACTCATATTTAATAAAAGCTTACTGCAGTTTTAAGGACGGGCACTAAGCTATATGCAGTATTTCCCTTCTGCTTGAAGGAGAGCATTGGACACAACCCATTAGGATATTTTGATGAATATGTTCTTGTGGCTTGTCATAAACATGTTCCTTCGTTTACAGTGCAATCTATGCATGTTTATTTGGAAGTGAGCCCCGGGTACATTTAATGAGGATTAAATGGCCAGTAAATGTGAAAAAAACTTTACAGCCTTAGTTAACTTCTGATGACTCAGAATTTTGTCTCAAAATTCATCAGTGTAAAATATGACCTCAACAAACTGCTTTCAACTTCATATTTTAGTCTGGCTCTATAAACTGAGAATTTTTATCCCCAGGCTGCTCATGACTATGTTTTATATAAAACGGTATCTGCACTTTTACACCTAGGACCAACAATGCCACTAGGATAGTAAGCAGTGATTTATTATTATTTTAGTTATACAGCCAAGGAGGAATTTTCTGCCTGTGGTATTAAAATAGCTTGACTAGCCCTTAGGTGCTATTTCTCCTGGTTGAGAGTGGCAAGATTTAGTGCTTTGCCTAAGGCTAGTAGTTACTGTGTCTCATTATCTTGTGACGAAGGCACATAAACACCAATCTAGCTCACTTTATACCACTGGGAAAGCTTACCTTAGAAGCGCTTGCAGTGATCACTTCCAGAAGAACAACAGCCCCATCAACATGCATATTTTCAACCATTTTGCATGTTTAAAACAACAGTGTTCCAAGCTTGTGCAAACAGAACATGGAGCCCCTCGTAGCTTTGGTGAGGGATGAAGAACAGATTCCCTCATTTCTCTTCTGCCCTGTCCTCTTTCCCTTTGCTCCTCCAACATCAGTTCTTCTTACTATTTGTTTCCTTGCTGACCTTCACTCTGAAGTAGTGTTAGATTAGCAACAATCCCCAGGAGTCTGGTCTGGAAAGTTGGGTTGCTGCTTCTGGACCTCCCCCAGACATTAGAGCTTGCTAATTTAGCTCCAAACCTCAAATGAACCATTAAGAAGTTTAAGGGGGTATGGTTTCCCAGTTTGATATCTGTGTCATTACTCTGGCTGAAAAATCTCCCATACTACCTGCTAGGTTCCTTTCTTGTTTTCATTTTTTTTCCATTAGATTTTAATGAGGGGTGTGTGTGTGTGTGTGTGTGTGTGTGTGTGTGTGTGTGTGTGTGTGTGTGTGTGTGTGTGTGTGAGAGAGAGAGAGAGAGAG